CTCTCTGCCAGAAGCCAGTAATCCTAATACAGTAGTAGGTTCTGAGAAATCCAATATAACTGAAGCATAAGACAAGGACATCAAAAGTGCAATTATCAATATGTTGGAGGGCCTTAAGGAGGATGTGAATAAATCCCTTAATGAAATCTGTGAAAACACAAACGGTAGAGTGAAATAACAAAAACGCTTCAACACAAAATAGAAATAGGATCGCTAAGGAAAACCTAAACTAAAATAAAACTGTAAATGAAAAGTTGAGAAAGTCAAACAAAAGCTTCAGAGGTAATTCTCACCAACAGAGTACAAGAGATGGAAGAGAGAATCTAGGTACTGAAGACAGAGTACAAGAGATGGAAGAGAGCATCTAGGTACTGAAGACAGAGTACAAGAGATGGAAGAGAGAATCTAGGTACTGAAGACAGAGTAGAAGAGATGGAAGAGAGAATCTAGGTACTGAAGACAGAGTACAAGAGATGGAAGAGAGCATCTAGGTACTGAAGACAGAGTACAAGAGATGGAAGAGAGCATCTAGGTACTGAAGACAGAGTACAAGAGATGGAAGAGAGAATCTAGGTACTGAAGACAGAGTAGAAGAGATGGAAGAGAGAATCTAGGTACTGAAGACAGAGTACAAGAGATGGAAGAGAGAATCTAGGTACTGAAGACAGAGTACAAGAGATGGAAGAGAGAATCTAGGTACTGAAGACAGAGTAGAAGAGATGGAAGAGAGAATCTAGGTACTGAAGACAGAGTAGAAGAGATGGAAGAGAGAATCTAGGTACTGAAGACAAAGTAGAATGAAATGGATACCTCAATCAAAGAAAATGGCAAATCTGGAAAGATTCAGGCATTAAACATCCAGGAAATCTGAGACAGTATGAAAAGACCAAACTTAGAAATAATAGGAATACTGGGGAGTGCCAGCCTACAATCCCATGGCCAGAGAGTCTGGGAAACAGAACCTTCATTCAGTGGCTGATGGAAGAAGAGGCAGACTCCCACGGCTAAACACTGAGCTGAACTCAAGAAAGCCAGTGACAGAGAGGGAGGACTGATGACCAAAGGGATTAAGACTGGGCTGGTTTAACCCCCAGAAACAGCTGACCTGACAAGGGTTAACTCTTGAATCCCAGACTGATGCCTGGGAATCCAGCATGGGACTGATCAAGACCCCCTGAATGTGGGTGTCAGTGAGGAGGCCTAGGTAATCTATTGGGCCTTGGGTAGTAGATCAGTATTTATCCCAGGTTTACAAATGGACTTTGGACTCCCATCCAACAATGTGAGATGCACTCTTACCCTGAACTCTTGGGTGAGAGTCTAGGTCCTGCCCTGTATGAAATGACAGACTATGGACACCCCCATGGAGGGCCTCACCCTCCATGGGGAAATGAGGGGATATTGGGGAGGGCTGGGGGGAGGGCACGGGAGGAGCGGAGGGAAACGGAGAGGGACCTGGAATTGACATGTGAAGCAACCTTGTTTCTAATTTAAATTTAAAATAAATAATAATAAAAAATAAATAATAGGAATAGAGGAAGGAGAGAAACGCTGGTCAAAGTCACAGAAAATATTTTCAGCAAAATCAGAAGATGTTCTTAACCTAATTAAGGAGGTGATTATCACGGTACAAGAGGCATCCAGAACACCAACCAAATAGGCTGGACCAGAAAAAACATTCCCTATGACACATTATAATCAAAACACTAAATGTACAAAGCAAAGAAAGAATATTAAAAGCTGCAAGAGTCTACTCTCCCACCCGCCTTAGGCATTGATGGGCAGGGGCCGGGCATCTCTCTCTGCTGATGCTGCCACATGACGGGTGAGTAATGGGGAAAGCTCTTCCATGCTCTCAACATTGGGGCTGGCTTGTCCACACTCTGCCAGTGGGGTTGGCTCTATCGTGCTACCCATGTAGGTACAGGGCCTGCTCTCCCAAGTATTGTGCTGGTGGCAGGCAGGGGTATCTCTCTCACCCTTCTGACCTCAGAGACAGCTCTCTTCTGTCTGCCTCAGGTGCCTAACACATCTATAAAAACCCTTTGAATGTTATATTTACCTCTACCTGTGGTTAATATCTTGGCCAATATGATAGCTTTTATGGATTTGTTTATTGTTTTTTTTCTTTTCACCTCATTTTATTGGTTCTCTTACACAAGCAGCAATGCTATATTTGAGGCTGAATTCCATGTCATAAATGTAGGCATGTAATATATAATTAAATATAACCACGCGAAGATTTATTTAATCATTATTTATATAAGTTATTCAGTATTTAGGGGAAAATAACACAGGTCAAAGAATTTCCATTGTTATTAATATCAGCATGTACATTTTATTGTTACGAGCGATTTGCTTTAATATTTTTGCCTCTTTGGTCAAATTGCAGACAGGTTCAGATTTATCTGTTGCAAGGTTGTGTATGAATGATGAATGAATGAATTTACTTCTCAGTAAGTTCATCCCAGAGTTTAGTTAGCTGACAGTAATGTTAGTGGATTTGTTTACTGTTAATACACAGTTTCCTTATCTGGAAATTAGAAAGTTCAATACCATCTAAAGCCAGACCTTTCATTTTTAGACCCAAATTATCCTGATGAGTGGATCTGGTTTAAGATCTACTTTCCCTTTGACTTAATTATTTCCCCCCTGCCTTATTATGCTGCTCCTGGTCACTCTAGGATGGAGGTGGGAAAGAGGGGGCAGAAAGGTGTTTTCTAGACTAGAATAGTGACGTAACTGATATAATCAGGTGCTGTTGCCTTGTAAGTGTACAGTGTCTGCATGTTGATTTTTTTTCTTAAAACACACAATTGAGGTGGGTTCCTCAGGCAGGGACAATGCTTTACTGGCTGGCTGCTAATTATTTCTTTCATTGCTCTTCTCTGGTGACCTTTGCATAGACTTTCTTTTGGGACTGCATTACATCTCTAAGTAATACTTCTGGGTAGAATCCCTTTCAAGATGGTCAAAATGAGTGACTTTTCACAGGGTGTAACTAGGTCAATACGGGTACTTTACATGTTGTGGAAATGTGGCAGGCTCTTTCTTGCTTTGTTCCTAGAGCCAGTTTGTCTCCCTTCCCCCCACCCCCTGCTCCCCCTGAGCCATGGACAGTATGGCTGTCCCTCAAACTATGGAGAACAAAGTTAAACCACATGAGTGGTTGCATTAGTGGGGACAGTCTCATGCAAACCAACACACTGGCTCTTTGGCTGTGTTGTTTCGCTAAGGAATCATGCATTTAGCATCTTTCACTGTTGGTTAGGATGATGAACTAATACAAGTGAAATTATAGTCACAATCTTTTATTTTCTTCCTTTTTTTTTCTTTTGGAGACAGGGTTTCTCTGTGTAACAGCTCTGGCTGTTCCAAAACTCGAGGTCCTGGAATTCCTGCAAGATGCTGGCCTCAAGCTCACAGAGATCTGTCTGCCTCCTGCCTCCCGACTGCTGGGATTGAAGGAGTGCACCACCACTGCCCGACTTATTCACAATCTTTTAAAAAAGAATTTATTTAAACAACAGTTTTTCCATTTATTTTACATATCAATCAGCTTCCCCTCCCTCCTTCCCTTCCTTTCCCTCTGTTTTCCCATCTACCCCCATCCCCTCCTCCTCCATCTCCATTCAGAAAGGGACGGGCTACCATGGGCTTGCACAAAGATGGCACATCAAGTTGAGGCAGGAATGAGCTCCTCCCTTTACATTGAGGTGGGACCAGGTAATCTAGCATGGGGAACCCGTTACCAAAAGCCAGCTAAGCACCAGGGAGAGGTCCTGTTCTCCCTGTTGGAAGCCTCACTAAGAGACCAAGCTACACAATTAAACAAATCCAAGAATGATGTTTGTCTTAGCTAAGGTTACTGTGCTGCAATGAAACACCATGACCAAAAGCAACTTGGGGAGGAAAGGCTATTGTTTGGCTCATACCTCCACATCACTGTTCATCACCGAAGGAAGTCAGGACAGGCACTCAAACAGGGCAGGAACCTGGAGGCAGGATCTGATGCAGAGGCCATAGAGGGCTGACCTCACTGGCATGCTCAGCTGGCTTCTTATAGAACCCAGGACCGCCAGCCCAGGGATAGAACCACCCCCAGTGGGCTGGGCTATCCCTCATCAGTTACTAATTATGAAAATGACCTGCAGCTGGATCTTTTACAGGCATTTTCTCAACTGAGGTTCCCTCCTTTCAGACGACTCTAGCGTGTGTCAAGTTGGCATAAAGCTGGTGGTTCAACGGGCCTCTTGTTAACTTGACAAACAAACGTCACCATTAAGCTGTAACCTTTCTTCTCTTGTTCATCCACAAGAACACAGTTAGCATCAATATCACCATACAAAACATTTTACAAACTTTAAAAAGTCCCACAGTCTTTACAAATTCAAACACTTTAAAATTCAGTCTCTTAAAAAAATCCAATGTCTCTTTTAAAATCTACAATCTCCTTAAAAATTCAGATTCTCAACTGTGTGCTCCCATAAATTAAAAAAAAATAAGTGAACACTTTCTCACTTCAAGTAGGAAGAACCACGGCACAGCCGCAATCTGAACAAAGCAAAATAAACTCCAACAGTGTAGGCAACTCAATGGCCAGTATCTGGGATTCACTCATGATCTTCTGGTCTCCTCCAAAGTGCTCGAGTCACTTCTAGGACTCCATCTTTTGTAGCACGAGTAGATTTGTCTTTTAGAGTCAGGATGGCTCCACTCTGCACCTGGTGGACTATCTGTCCAGCCTTGACATTTTCTGTTGTTCTTTTGAGACAGGGTTTCACTTTCTAGTCCCAGCTGGCCTCGAACTCACAGAGATCTACCTACCTCTGACTCCCAAGAACTGAGATTAAAGGTGTGCCCTGTCCAGACTAACGGAACAAGTTTCATTTTTATTTTTACTTATGCATATGTGTGTTTGTCTGTGTGAGTAGATATCACACGTATGAAGGTTCCCTTGGAAGCATTGGGTTCCCTAGAGTTGTGTATAGAAACCCTATTTATGAGTTTCCCCTAATCCTCTTTCCAAAGAAGACATGTTGGAGTGCGTATTTCATGTCCTTGTTACGGAGGCTATAGATGAAAGGATTTAAAGCTGGTGTCACCACAGAGTATATCAGCGTGATAATTTTATGCATCGCAGCTGAGTTGCCAGAAGTGGGAATCACATACATCACCATTATGGTTCCATAGAACAGAGACACTACCAGCAGGTGGGATCCACAGGTCGAGAAGGCCTTTTGCCGTCCCTCAGAAGAAGGGACCCTCAGGACGGCTCTGAGCACCAGGGTATAGGATCCAAGGATGTACAAACTAGTGAGGACAATGATAAGAGTGCTGCCGGAGTAGAAGACACGCCTTATGGTGGCTGTAGGAGTACAGGACAGAGCCATTAGTGGGTCCACATCACACAAAAAATGATCAATGATGTTGGGACCACAGAAAGACAGCTGAGAAATGAAAAAAATGGGTATCAAATGTCCAGAGAAACCAATGATCCAGCAGAGGGAAACCAGAGTGACACAGAATTGCCTGGTCATGATGGAAGGATAATGCAATGGGAAGCAGATGGCTAGGTACCGATTGTACGCCATGGCGCAGAGGAAGAAACACTCGGTTATGCCCAGGGAGAAGAAGAAGTAGAACTGAGTAAAGCAGCCAGGGAAGGAAATAATCTTAGATTCGGAAAGAAAGTGGACCAGCATGTTGGGGACTGTGCAGGTCACGTACCAGATTTCTAGGAAGGAGAAGTTGGCCAGGAACATATACATAGGGGTATGGAGTTGGTGGTTCCATCTCACTGCACAAATGATGGCCATGTTCCCAGTTAAAGTCATCGAGTAGACCAGCAGAATCAGTGAGAAAAGTGTGATTTGGATCTTCCAGGGCCCGGGGGAAGCCCAGTAAGACAAAATACGTCACTGTGGATACCTGTGTCTTATTCATGATCACCAGACTGTGGGGAGAAGACAGGAAATGGTGATCTACTTTGCTGCTGAAACATCTTGAAGCCTTTCTTGGGGCCAAGAGTCTGACTCACGCAGGCAATTGCATTGGATTTTTAAAATGTTTTAAAATTTTTACATTCCAACCCCAGGTCTCCTTCCCTCCCCTTCTCCCTCCTCCCTCCTTTCCCTCATCACACCCCCCCATATATTCCTCAGAGGAGATAAGGCCTCCCTTGGGGAGTCACCAAAGTCTGGGATACCAAGTTGAGGCAGGATCAAGTGTCATGTGTCATCCCCCCCCCCCCCACAGTAAGTCTGAGCAAGGTATCCCACCATAGGTAATGGGCTCCAAAAAGGGCCCCTGGCAGTAGGACCAGGGCTTGTCCCTAGTAGATGAAATGTATTGGAAAAAATAAGTCTTGAACAAATCCTATCCTATTCCTGAGTGGGCTACAAAAATGAATTCTAAGTTTTGTGAGTTTTCTGTGGAAGTAGAGAAAAATCAACAAAATTTCATCTTTGCTAGTTTAGCTATATATCACTTTCTTAGCAAAAGGCCCTGGGTTTGATCCCCGGCACCAGAAAAACAGTTATAAACAAACAAAATAAGAATATTTAAATATAAATGCTGAACTGAACTCCTGGATCCCAGTTGCAGAGAGGGAGATGTGTTGAGCAAAGGGGTCAAGACTGGGCTGGAGAAACCAACAGAAACAACTGACCTTGAATGAGGGGAACTCATGGACCCCAGACTGATGGCTGAGAGACTAGCATGGGACTGATTCAGACCCCCTAAATCTGGGTGTCGGTGAGGGGGCCTTGGTAATTTATGGGGTCTCAGGTAGTAGATCAGTATTTATCTCTGGCATGCGAATGGACTTTGGGAGCCCATTCCACATGGAGGGATGCTCTCTCAGCCTGGACACACTGGGGAGGGCCTAGGCTCTGACCTGGATGATAACACATACTTTGGAGATCCCCCATGAAGGGCTTCACCCTCCCTAGGGAGGGGAGTGGGGATTGGGTGGGGGGTTACAGGGTTGGGGGGGAGGGAAGGGAGAAGGAGCTGGGATTGACATGTGAAGCAATCTTGTTCCTAATTTAAATAAAAACCCAAACAAACAAGCAAACAAACAAACAAACAAGCAAAACCCCAAAAATTGCTTTCACTTACTAGTAAAATAAATAAAAAACAAAACAGAATATAGTATTATAAAAAGAATATTTAAATAATGATAAAAATGATTTGATTTATGCTGGCTTGGTTTTCAGTGAAAGTTGTTCAGAGGCAACCAAAGTGCCATCCCCTCAAAATGTGAGGACATGTATGCCATTATTTTCAATAGAGGTTGTATAAATTTGGATGGTTTATAATTTGACATTAATTCAGATTATCTTTGGAGCTCTTTCCATTAGGAGAATTTATTTTTGACCATGTTAAATAGTAACAGGAGAAGAAAGTCAATAAACATAAATAATTTTTATGCAGTTTGCTTATTCCTATTTAGGAATTGTGTATTGTGATAGCTAATTTATGATTTTATAAGCAATTATTTATTTTTAGCAATAAAAAGCCACTATTATTTACTCTGCTTTCACATGTCAATCTATCATGCTTCTTACACATCTGAAAGTGTTATTTCTCACCCTCCCTGGGGAGTGGATGGGGGTGTGGTGGGGGGGTCAGTGGAGGGCATGGGAGGATGGAATTGATATATAAAATAATAAAGTTTCTAATTTAAGTAAAAATTTATAAAAACCCCAAAAATGTTATATTAAAAATGGACATAATGTATGAGAGTATATGGGGATATTTACGAGATTTTTCCCTATAGCACTTCTTATTAGTTCCCGAAATTTTCCTTAAAGTTTGTTATTCAGAGACTACCTTAGATCATTTAAAATACCTCCAATATTAAAAAATGGGGCACCAAAATAAAAATAGTTGTTTCTAAATAAAGTTTACTCACATTCCAAAATGTGCCCTTTTCTTCAGAACATAGTGACCAAAGATACGTTTGCCCTCTTTTTATAAGAATACACTAATTGTACAGAACACACAGGTTACTATACTTCTATGATTTTTCTCTTCCCCATCTCAGTTCACCCTTCCTCTGGATCCTTTTAGTTTTCTTCCTCTTTTGTCTTTGTTTCCGATGAAAAGTAATGTTGAGGCTCAAGCTCGGGATGGAGGTAGCAAATGCCTAGCAGGTATGAGACCCTGGACATCATAACCTGCACTGTACAAAGTGAAAACAGGTGGAGGAGTGAGGAGCAAAGGCGTCAAGACCGTGCTGGTGAAATTCACAAAGACAGCTGACCTGACAAGGGGGAGCTCTCGAACCCCAGACTGATGGCTGAGAGGCCAACAGGGGACTGATCCAGACTCCATGAATGTAATGTCAGTGAGGAGGCCTCAGCAATCTGTGGGGCCTTGGGTAGTAGATCAGTGTTCACCATGGTGTACGAATGAACTTTGGGAGCCCATTCCACATGGAGGGATGCTCACTCAGCCTGGACACATGGGGAAGGGTCTAAGTCCTGCCCTGGATGAAATGACAGACCCCGGAGTTCCCCCCAAGGAGGGCCTCACCCTCCCTGGGGAATGGTGTGGGGATTGGGCTGGGGGCTGGGGGGAGAGGGAGCTGGGATTGACATGTGAAGCAAGCATGTTTCTAATTTAAATAAAAACATGTATTGAGAAAAAAATCTGAAAAAAGAAAGAAAAATAATCGAAACACAGAGATAGAACATGATGGCAGTCTGGCGGATAAACAGAATTTTTTTAAAATTACTTTTTAAAGCTAAGGTTTTAGTGTGAACAGTACTGGCTGGCCTGAAACTTGCTGTGTAACACCCTGGGCAGTGTTTTGAACCCTCAGTCTTCCTTTGCTTTCTGAGTGGTAGGTACAGTCATGAGCTTCATGCCTGGCTTAAGGAAATACTTTTAACTTTTTGAGTAATAAGAGCAGAGTTTGAATCATACATTTTAATAGAAATGGTAATATGGCATTTGCAGTCCCCACTGAACATACTAAAATAGAATAAAGCTATTGAAGAAATGGTATTAGATGAGGTAAATAAACTTGTGTAGCTGCCACAGGAGCAACAGATTAGTAACAGCCCAAATGAATGGCCCCAAGTGAGCAACATAACTTCCCTTTTTCTGGGCAAGAAGCCCTGAAGAGAAAAAGAGAAAGATGGGCATGAAGAAATTTTAAGTTTTAGAAACTAGGATAATTATTAAGAACACAACCAACCTGCGTTGATGCTCATTTTGGTAAGATATCAAGAAAGAATGGTTCCCGCCGGGCGGTGGTGGCGCACGCCTTTAATCCCAGCACTCGGGAGGCAGAGGCAGGCGGATCTCTGTGCGTTCGAGGCCAGGCTGGACTGACAGCCTCCGAAACAATACAGAGAAACCCTGTCTCGTAAAACCAAAAAAAAAAAAAAAAAAAAAAAAAAAAAGAAAGAATGGTTCCCCACTACAGAAACACTGCCCACTCTGCACCTTTCCATGTGAAAAACCTCTCATCAACAGAATTCCAAGTAGTCCCTTTACCTGGAAGGGAGCAGCGGAACAATGGCTCTGAACTCAGGGTCACAGATTTTGATTCCAAATCAAAATACATAAGTCAGAGCCGCACGCATATCGGTGGCTCTGCCTTACAAGCTTGTCATTACGTTCTACGTGAATTCTCAGTCTTCGTCAACACTGGTTTGATCTTACAGCCACAAGCACCTTCTCGTTCTTCTCCTCATCCCCATTTTCTTCCTCTTTTTGCTTCTCCCCTCAAGAAAATGGTCTCATGTGAAACATTCACATTTCCAATTTAAATAAAAACATATCTTGAGAAAGAAAAAAGAAAATGGTCTCTATTTCTATGGCCTCTCTATATAGGTGAGACTGACCTCAAACTCAAGAACCCTTTGTTCCTCTTCCGGAGCTATGATTAGAAGCTTGCACCACCATACCCAGAGCCTTTCTTGTTGAGCAGGGCGACAGAGGAGAGGAGAACTGAGAAAGGAAAGCGGTAGCATCAAGAACTGACTGCTATTGGTTTCCCTTTCGGTGGGCAGAGCTATTCTCTCACTATTATGCACACGTAATAAAAGGCCTATCTTCCCTGCTTCCCTAACCACCTTCTTACGAGGAAGAAGACCCTGGGAACAGCTTTTTTTACTGTTTAGCACATTGGCTTTGGGGCGGGCAAATTCCACAACGATCTCATCATTCTGAATAATTTTTTTCCTTTAGCTTTGAGCAGAGAGACAGAGTGACAGCCTTTGGAGCATATTGAATGGACAGACGCATCAGCAAGCAGGCTCACCTATCATGCACAAAAGCATTAATGCCCACCAGGCATGCGGTCATCCACAAAGTTTCTCTCCTTTCCCGGGTCAACTATGGAGGCTGTGCATAAGCACTTCATACACTACCGATTTTGCTTCCTCTGACTACAACATTGGAGTGTTCTGTTTCTCGCTGTGTAAAGATTATGTGTTGGCTCCAATTTATGCCCCTTGTTGTCAGCTGTTGAGATTTCTCAACTCTGTTCAAGTGAACTTATTATTTTTTTCACGCTGTCCATGGGGACCTCTTTGTTTCTCGTCATGTAGTTTCATTAATGCTTTTGATAAATTGATCTACGGGGATTATTAAAGATAGTGTGTCATAGAGCCCATGGCCTCCTTAGGCTTGTCATGAAATACATATCATGTCCAATTAAATCACCTTTCTTTTAAACATTTCTTTATTATATTTTAAAACGTTGATCCTTTTAATTTTAAAATTATACCATTTGCTTCTTCCTTTCCCTCCCTTCAAGTCTATCCATATATACCTCCTTGCCCTTTCTCAAATTCCTGGGTCAGTTTTTCATTAATTGCTGTTACACACATGCACACGCACTCCTAAGTATATAAATACAATCTGATCAGTCTATATAATTTACATTTATGTTTGATTTTAGGAATGACCATTTATATAAGGCATTGGGGGGA